TCCCCTGTGAACCTGTGAATGGTAAGTTGTGACCCGGATTGTACCCTGACCTTGCTGTTTCTCTCCTATCCTGACCCTTGCTTTGCCTGACCTCTCTCTCTGAATGCCCCTGATTGGATTTGACCTGCTGTTGCTGACCTGGGCGTGTGACCCGGACCATTCTATGCCCGCTGCCCTTGTACCTTGCCGTCCTCTCTGTTACCGACCCGGCCCGTCTGACCTTGCTCATCCATCCATCCATCCCTTGCAGTGGGGTCTTCTGACCTCCTCACATCAGACTCTTCCCCGCGGGAGCCCTTGGCGCATACCACTACCACTGCCGGACGCACCCAGTAGCCACGGCCTGGTCTCAGGGGGGGCTCCATCTCGTCCATCCCCACCATCAGGGGCCCTGGGTGAACAAGCACCCTGGGACTTAGATTTCCGTGCGCTGGGGACGCCTATTCAGTGGAGTGCTAGTGGTACCGCCAGGCGGTCCCCTTACACCTAAACTCTGCACTCTGTATGTAGCACACTCCTGAAACCCTGCACCCTCTGAGAAAAAAAAAGTCCTGCATATGTAGCAAGTAAATGAACCTCCCAGTAATTGCTATTACTAAGCTGCAACTACTAGCGGGACCTTTAATGATTTGTAGCATGACTTCAGGAGACTAATACCAACAAACTAACATTGAAAAACTATGAATGCACGTGAGCAACACATGTTCATGCTCTCCTCTTTGATACAGGTTAGTCACACTCTGTTTATGCTATCTTTGTTCAGCTTTGTGTTTGTTCTGACATTCACATTCATATGTTACTAATGGTAGTTCTCTAGTACAAATTCATGTGCTTTTTCCATGTAGCCTGCGCTGACACTATAAAGAAAGTAATTACCTGTGTAATGTGATTTTATTTGCAAGTGAATAACACATTCTTTGATACAGATATTGCAGGCTGCATCTTTGTCATACCTCGCATTCAAATCACTGGAAAATCCTGTAACATTCGGGGCCCCACCTGGGATCAGTGCAATCACAGTGCCACAGGTCACAGAGCAGGGAAGAAAAGTTTTCATTGACATGAGTTCCCAAGCAGGGGCGGACTGACCATTTGGAAACTTGGGCACTGCCCGAGGGCCCGGGGTCAGTAGGGGGCCCCATGAGATGCCCCTGGTACCTTTTCATAGGCTTTTTTGAGTTTGGGCAAGGACACATGGTCCCCATGATCCCCTATTGCCCGGGGCCCCATGAGTTGTCAGTCTGCCCCTGTTCCCAAGTAAGCATTGTGGCTGCAAGTTGGGTTTAAACATCATTAGAAACAAACTGCAATTCAGCCAATTGACAAACTGTTAGGAAAATACAGCAAGCTAACCATCACAGCATCAAATGGTTCTGGTGTTCCTTTTGATAGGTTGGTTGAATTGGAACTTAAAATTTAAAATTGAAGTGGAAATAGGGTAACAATCCTTTTTCCAATGCTAGTTAACCAGACTTGCTTTGCCACTCCAATTCTAGAGTTCAATGCAATTGAAGAACTGATAAAAGAGCATTCTGACAGTTCAAACCCTGGTAAATATGACATGACAATGCTACTGAGTGAAACAATATGGATACAAAAATGTAAAGCAAATGCATTAGTAGGGCTGTCTTCTTTAACTAAGAATAATGAGTGAAGAGTGAAGAGTGAACTTTTTAAAAGAGCAGAAAGATATCTTGGTAGACTTGTTTCAGGCAATGGTATTCAAATGGATCCAAAGAATTTATAAGTGGATGCAATTAGAAAACAAAAAAACCAAAGACAGTGGGTAAAGAGCGAAAATTACTTGGATTTCTAAGCTATTACTATTTTTTCATACAAAACTTTTCACATATAGCAAAACTCCTTTATGACTTACTACAAATCAAAAGTGGATATAAGGAGACAAGAAAGGGAGCTGCAGAAAATGAAAAGTCACCTAAAAAAAGAAAACAGCTCAACAGTTGCTCTCTGGGACTCCAACAACACTATTCAGTGGATGCCACAACACCTGAAGGTTGTTGACAAGCTAATACTGATGTTGACCAAACTCCAAATCCTTGATTATCCTGACTTTAAGGCTGGCCATACATTATACAATTATCTGCAGATTTTCTGCCCAATTTCCTTTAGATTTACCTTCAACTATGTAGTGCAAGGGCCTGCCTAATTGGATACAACTGAAAGTGTTGTTTAGTTTTGTCCTCCTATTATATGGTTTTTGGTAAATCTAAACCAAAAATCTGCAGATAATTGTATAATGTATGGCCAGCCTAACTCACCATTTGTGTTACACCCTGATGCATGACAACATGAGCTAGGCGCAGTGCTTTGTCAACATCAAGATGACAAATTATAGGTTATAGGTTCACAAACATTGACATCAAGTGAGAAGAACTATCATCTGCATTCAGGAAAATTGGAGTTCCTAGCTTTAATGTGGACCATTTGTGATAAGTTTAGGAACTACCTGTACTATTCCCCCTTGCTTAGAGTCTATACAGGCACCAACCCACGAACATATGTTTTCAATTCAGCAAGACTGAATAGTGTTGGACACTGCTTGGTAGAAGAATTAGCTGATTTCTGTTTTGGCATGAAATATCACCCAGGTAAAAAAAATGCAGATGCTGATACCTTGTTTAGAAATTCACTATGCAGTCTTCAGGATGAAGAAGAATTTATAAAATCTGATAACACCACATACCATTTCTGCTGCATGGAAAGGTAGCAGGTAGATGAGGAAGGTCTCTGGGCACTAGTTCTAAAACTACAGGATGAGACAGCTGCTCCAGATGAGACCAGATGAACCAATGAGAGAAGGAAACCTGTCCTCTGAACAAAGGTATTCTCAAAGAATATGTAGACCAAAGAAGATATTAACATATGAGACACTTTCCAACTCTCCTTTTCAAAAGTGGGATGTTTCCACAAATATGACTGAACAGTGCTATGACCTCCCATAAGTCAAATAGCTAACATATACAAAATTTGCAATTTCCTCATGTTCATATTTCTTGCCAAGAACATATTTTGATAGTTATTTAGATGATACAGACTATGAATAACTCTTATTTATGCTAAATGTATATATATAAAGAGAGAGAGAGAGAGAGAAAAGAGAGAGAGAGAGAAAGAGAGAGAGAGTAATAGATAGATAGATAGATAGATACTTAGATAGATAGATAGATAAACCCTGACCAGGCCTTACCAAACCTTACCAGCCCAGCCAGTTTCCTTCCCTAAAAAAAAAAAAAAAAAACACTCTGGAGCCCTTCAGCCTACATGGGTAAGAAATCTTGGTGACACTAAATCTTCTTTACATCTGTAAGAATCCACAACAAATGCCGTTTTACCTCGTCACCTTGTGCAGCCCTGTCACAATATGTACACAATCCAGGTATGGATGTTTTGAAATTCAAAATTAATTTTTTTCAGCTGTAAAGGAATGTTACATTTTATGTCCAAAAAAAAGTATAGTTTTGCAAGTAATTTCTACAACTGTTTTTTTTCCCCAACTGTTCCCGTAATGACAAATTTATACAGCCCAAAAACTTTGAACTGCATTAAAGATACTTACCTGGAAGGCACTTATTTGCTAAAGCCCCATGTATCATAAACAGTTACCATTTTTTTCTTTCATAAAATTCTCTTTTCACCCTTCTTTGATCAGTTTTGCATCTCAGTGCTGCTAATCTCTTGCAGCCTTCAATTAACCCCTTCCTGTCTACATGTACTCACTCTAGTTGCAGCTGCATGTCATTGCTTAGGACAAGTTTCTCTTTAGTGACAACAGTGGAAAATCTGGGGAATTGATAAACAGTGTCTAAGACTCTTTAGCATTTAGAATTCTAGTTTGATCCCACATGGCAAATGTTGGTTCAGAAGTAAGAATGATCTACCTGTTGTAGACAGGTACATGAATCTGGGGCACACATCAAGTGTGGAGATGCACTGATGCTGGAGTTTCCATACAGACATTCTGCCCTTAGCAAGGGCAGACTGACCATTTGGAAACTTGGGCATTGCCCGAGGGCCCGGGGTCTGTTAGGGGCCCCATGAGATGCCCCTGGTACCTTTTTCATAGACTTTTTTGAGTTTGGGCAAGGACACAGGGGCCCCATGATCCCCTATTGCCCGGGGGCCCCATGAGTTGTCAGTCCGCCCCTGGCCCTTAGTACAACTCTGCTTCCTCCCCACTGCTGTATCTGTCAGACAGAGATGTGACAGGGAGTTTTGTACCTGGGGTGGAGCCTGATGGGAATTCACAGACACTAGTTCCCATCAGATTCTATCCCTTTGTGATTAACAGCTGACAGTGGGAAGATCCTTACCCCATAGACAGCCTGTTTTTGGCTTTAGAATCTGCCCACAGCCTGCTGTCAACTATAAGGTGAGAGAAGACCTTATGGCAATTACAAGGTGAGAACAGACCTGATAGAGAACTAGTTCCTTCCCATCAGAGTTTGTCCACTGCAGCATCACTATGAAGCAGACTGCATTCTTAAAATTGAGTGATGGCAAATATGCCACTCTGCTACACCACATACAGTGACAGGCACTCTGCTTGTCTCTATACAGCAAGTTACAGTAAGTCATGACTGCCCTCATAAATAGAGCCACTTTGTATAGTCTTTACAATCTATAAAGAGATTATTCTTGTAGATTCCACTAAACCTTTATTGGAACCCCTTTAGAAAAATTAAGAGACTATCCAAAATTCTTCCTCTCTTTTAAAGTAAGTATACAAAGACATTTAGCTACAGACTGTTCCATCATGCTTTATCAGAATCAGAGCTTAAGGATGAAAAGGCCAGAAGATTGTATTAAGAATAGAAAGTAAAACTCTGTGGAAATCTTGTTAAGTATGATGGAGACGGTTGGAGATCTTCCTGCCATAACAGGTCTTGTGTGCATGGGAGCCTTCTTGGAGGATCTACTGACATTTGGACTAGAAGGAAAAACCATGTTCTATAGGTGCAAAATGGAGCTTTAAGTATCCTTGACACAATCTCTCCCTGTATTTTCAGCAGGAACTGGGGAATCAAAGCATTTGGAGGGAACATATACACCAGATTGTATCTCCAGGTTATGGAAAGTGTTTTCTGGAATAGGGCTTGTCATCTAAAGTCCTGTTCATGAAACTGTCACAGACATGACAGCTTCCTAGCACAGACACAACCCACTCCGAATGCCTAGTCAGAGTGGTGTTAACTACTGCCAGTTTCCTAAATGGAGAACTGGAGGTTATTCTTTAAGAATTTGTCATTGACATAGCAAATAATTCCTAAAGTGGTGGTAATATGAACTACCTTAATTTGCTGCACATTTCAATAATGTTACCCACACTAGCACAAATGCTTGACTGAATTAGACGCAGGAGGTTCTCAATGAAACTGCAACCAGAAAATTGACATGAGAGCCATTTTTAATTCCCCTGTTTGTTTTCAATGAGTCAGCTGACCTACAGATTTGCAGTTGCGAGAAGCAACTTTAAAGTGGTTGTAAAGTTTAAACATGTTTTACCTTAATAAATTCCTTGCATTAAGGTGAAAAATGTTTAGGTTACAGTATTGTCCCCTCACACCCCCCCACCCTTGTACATATCTGAGTCTTCTGAGTCTTCACTCAATCCAGCGCAGTGCTCATCTGCAGTGGCTCTCTTCTCTACTCCCCACTCTCACATGCTTTGCTGAGAGCAGTGGAAGCCATTGGTTCCCGCTGCTGTCAGTCAAATCCTGTGGTGAAGGAGCGGGGCTGAGTCACACTTTCTGTGTCAATGGACACAGGCAGCAGAGCTCGGGATTGAGCAGGCAAGTGTGTCTTGAAAGAAAGGGGCTTCTTATGGTGACACACCAAGAAGAGGAGGACCCAGGAGCGCTGGCGGAGGACCCAAGAAGAGAAAAAAATAAATAAAATGTGTGACTTTACAATCACTTTTAAAGCAGTTCATAATGAATATATATGACTGCATGATGCATTGTACCTGTATAATTACAAACTATAAAACAAGGTTTTTACAATACAAGCACAAAACTGATAAAATAGAAATAGAAATTTTCACATTAAGCAGATCACTTTTACAACTATTTCTTAAAAATATAAAAGACTACACATTACCTTTAAATGATTGTCTTTTCAGTGATTTTTTTCAATTCAGAAAGAATAAAAGTTAATCTTTAACTTGAACAGATTTGTCCAAGCTTTGTATGATTAAAATGAACAACTGTGTTTAAAGACTACCATAGAAAATGTTGTTGTGATGTTAGCATTTTGATTATAAGCAAAATAAATTTGTCCTACCTCTAAAACGCTACAGTTAACACATTTTTTGCAAGAAATGTTAAGACGAACTTCAAGGATCCATTCAACCAAAAAGCTACATAATGCTGACGGCATATAAATTATGTTATCTCAGTTTACATGTCTGAATATGTTTATTAGTTGTCGAAAAGAATCAACAAAAATCACATAAATAAAACATTTATTCATATGCTTACAAGATAGATACTAGATAATCTAGATAATCAAAACATTTGCATCCATAAGACACCTATTTTCCTCTTACATCTTTCATATGGATATATTTGCAGTTTGTGTTTGCAGTGAAATTGCTGGGCTTAGTACCAAATCAGTGAAATTGCAGTAATGCAAATTTAATGGCAAAATAAAAGCCCCTTAAGTGAACTATCTGCATTTTATACCCCCTTGCTTTTTTATAGTTTGAAAAGTCAATATTTTGTAGTAATTGGTTGCATGGAATATAAGTTTAAAGAAACAACTTATTCTCACAGGTGATTTTAAAAGGAGCAAGAAAGGTCATAATGCAGTAAACATTTTGCTTAGAAGTGTGTTTACAAGTGTTGTTTATAAGATATATGAACATTCTGCCTTAATATCATATTTATAATGACTATATATATATATATATAAGAATATATATATATATATATATTATTATATATATGTACTGTGTATTGAATATCCTACGTTGTAATATAAATGCAAAACACACACATGCTTTCTTCTATATATTATGTTTAGCACCAATTTATTTTAAAAACATAACAATATACGGTTAGTATACTATTTATACAGACACAGCTGCAACAGCGATTCTCATATATTATACCACAACAACCATTCTCATATATTATACTGCAGTTAGTATTTCTGCCACTGGGCAGTAGTCTTTAATTATTGCATAATGTTACTTTCTTCCAAGTGGAAATACATATTATGGTGTAATTGCCTGTTGCTTCCAAATAAAACAATAAATAAGCTATATGTCCAGCACATCTTGACTGAAAAGATCATATTTGCAACAGGTTATGGGCCCAGATACAGCCAACGTACTAAATAGTGCTGCAGATATTGTTACAACAAAACAATCTATGATTAAAAAAGTCAAACACCCTATATAATGGCTACTAACAGTGCTATATCAAAAATTTCAGAGGCTAATTTGACAAACCAGAACTACAAGTCTTGGAAATTTAGATTGAATGAAGATGCTGGCGATAAGTCCAGATCAAACCCACCTTCGGAAGAATGATGGAACACCAAAAAGCTCAATGCACTATATGTCTGAGCATAGATGATCAAAGTGTACACATATGCACGTGTGACACTGAAACAGAAATGTGGCAGAAGATACAGAAAGTAAATGAGAAAGTAACTGTACCTAATTAAAAAGCTATACCAGACTAAGTTAATAAAAGGCAAGCACATGCAGGACTACTGTATATAGGATGTTCTTTAGAAATTGGCGAACACCTGTGAGCTATTGGAGAAGAAATAAAAGATTTTCAAATAGCAGAACTACTACTCTGTGGTCTCCCTGACAACACAGTTTTTCTAACTCCTGACGCTGCCCCAGATGATGAGTTTATCCTGAAATATGTTAAATACAAGCTTATGGATGATTATACGTGAAAATCAGAAATTGCAAACAGAGAAAATGCTCCTATGGAAGAATCTGCACTAAGAAAACATGGCCAACTACCACCCACTGAATGCAGCCCATTCAAGTGAATGGGGCCTTACTGCGACTGCCTGTGACTACATGCATTGCACATAGTCATGGCACAGTGGTGCTGCATTTAACAGGTTAAAACAGGCAATGAGGAGGTGACATATAGCCTTCTCTATACCTGTTAAATGTTTCTGAAAAGTATCAAGGCATCTATCACTTTTTAGAGGCATGGCAGTCCTTGCTATTGTTGTGAATGAACCCTAAAAAAATCTGTTCTGAATGTACAGGGTTAGGGATCAGGATTAAAAGTAACATACATACTGTATATACACACATATAAACATACCTACAGTACCTACACATTCACATAGGTGTCCGTTTATGACACAGAGAATAGCTGCGATTCAGAGGATCACAGCTATTCTCTGGTCATTCACAGTTTATGACACTCAGGAGATCAGCGAGGAGCGATGTCAGCCCTTCACTGGAGATCTGTGTTCTCCCCCCAGATTCTCCAGCCCAGAGCTGGAGAATCGGAGGAACCGCAAACTAAGCAGAGATAATTTACCTCTGCTTAGTAAACTGATCTTTTACTGTAATCTTGCGAGATTATAGTAAAATCAACCGTTTTCCAGCGTTTGTAGACCGTTCTCCCTTCCTTTGGAGAACTGATCTACACCGCTTCATAAACGGCATTCACAGGAGAACTGTGTTCTCCGAGAATGCCGGAGAACTGAGCAGCGATCATTTACCACTGGTTCATAAACGGACACCATAGTACATACTCACCTACACACATACCTAAACTCACATACCCATACACACTCACATGCACATGACATACACACACATACATACATTAATACACACATGTATAGTATGTACATACACACACACCCTTTTAACAAATGAAGATTGTACCTGCACCTGCACTACAGGTGACCTGTTTGTTTAGCAGTGGGCTGTAGGAGGAGGTGAAGCAGGTAAGGACCTCCCCCATCCACTGTGCTGCACTGTGCCCTTGATCGAGCTTCCACTGTGCTGTGCTGTATCCATATGGGACTAAGACAGGTGGAACTCTGAACTGTAAATCAGCACAGTGGCAGCTTGATTTACATGCTTTCTCAACCATGATGCCGCGGCACCATTGACAACCTTAGAAGGCACCTTGGTTG